CATATCCACCTGAGGAGAAACCAGGGCCTTATTTGCCACAGTGTAGGGGCCTAGGAGGAGGCAGGAGCTTACCTAACAGGAGAGGCCACAGTCCTCAATCCTGGGGATGGCCAGGCTCTGGAAAGTGCCCCAGGTCAGGCCGAGGAACGCAAGTACTTGCCCAGCCAGCATCTGGCTGTGCATTGACAGCTGTCACTGGAGACAGGACGTGAGTGGGGCAAGTTTGCAAGGTGCCCTGTGGCAGCGGCTCCTGGCCGACCCTGCAGCTCCAGCCCCAAAGACGAACAGAGGAGAGAAGGCCGCTCCTCACAGCAGGAGCAAGTGGACATGCTCCTTTCTGGCAAAACAGGGCTCCCTTTACGGACAGCAGCCCGGAGACTTTCCATCACCCGGGGCCGTGAGACTGTGGCCAGACACTTGTGGAGTTTCTAGGTTTCCAAAGAAAGCATTCAGAAACCTTGAGGTCTTTGGAATCTCAGAACACCCTAATGGGGTTCCCCACAGGGCGGCCACTGGAGCAGAGACAGCTCCAGGCCAGTGGGATCAAGGCATCGCCTGTGTGCACCCCCTTCAGGCGTTCGTGAGGCTGGGACAGTAGACAAGGGCCCTGGAAAGCTGGCTGGGCTGGCAAAGGGGGGCAGAATCTGTCTTGGGCACTGGTACCCCAGAGCCCCTGGCTTCAGCCCCGGCCTCTAAGGGAGAGCCCTCTCCTGGGACCTAAGACTCCACCCCAAGTCCTCAGCCCTCGCCTCCCCTCCAGATTCAAGAGGCCACCCCCCCCGTTCAGTCCTCTGTGAGGTCCCCCACTCCAGAGGGCAGCCCCCAAGGCTGGGAACTCTGGGACTTGGCTTCCGCTCAGGCAGCTGTTCTGAGTCCTCTTCTTATCTGGAGCATCCAATGTGTAAGAAAGTTTTTGGGCAGAAGCTTACTGCTTCCCATTTGCCTCCAGCCAGGGCAAGGGGTTGGAGAGAACCAGGGTGTGGTTCTGGGCGATAGAAGCTCACTGCTTCCCATTTGCCTCCAGCCATGGCAGGGGGTTGGAGAGAACCAGGGTGTGGTTCTGGGCGACCTGGCTCCTCTCTTCCTGGACAGGCCCAGAGTCCCTGTGTCCAGCCCAATCTGTATGTCTCAGCAGCACAGA